GGGGTGGTTGGAGGGAGGACGGGGTTCCCACGTCCCCGGGGCTACTCCGTGGTGGCTTCACCTCTAACTCGCACCGTGTCGGCAGAGGCTGAGTCCACGGCCAAGAGGCCCCGCACCACCATCACGGCCAAGCAGCTGGAGACCCTCAAAAACGCTTACAACAACTCGCCCAAACCGGCGCGGCACGTCCGGGAGCAGCTTTCCTCGGAGACGGGGCTGGACATGCGGGTAGTGCAGGTGAGAAGGGGCGACCCTTACCCCCCCACCACCCCACCGGGTCTGCCCGGGCCGTGGGGTGGGAGGCGGCGGGGAAGGAGCCGTCCCGGCAGAGAGGGAGCTGCCCGGCGTGCCCTGCTTGCAGGTCTGGTTCCAGAACCGCAGGGCCAAGGAGAAAAGGCTGAAGAAGGACGCGGGGAGGCAGCGGTGGGGTCAGTACTTCAGGAACATGAAACGATCCCGGGGGACCTCCAAGTCCGACAAGGACAGCATCCAGGAGGAGGGACCCGACAGCGATGCCGAGGCCTCCTTCACAGGTCGGTTCCCCCGTTCCCAGCCGGAGCTATGCTGGGTGCGGTCTGTGTCCCGTCCCCCCCCCGCAAAGCTGCTGTCCGTGTCTAGGCTGCTTACACCCCCTCGGTGCTACCTTATTCATTTTCAGCCATAATATAATGAGTGAAAACAAGTGCCCAAGGAAGGAGAGATGCAGAGCTGCGGGATTTACCGCGGTGCGGCCCCGGCTGCCCGGTTCTGGCAGAGCTGCAGGGCGGGGGGAGCTGGAGCCGCGGCAGCGAGGGGCAGCCGAGGCTGAGGAACTGGAGGGGAAACTCTGGTTTTCCTCCGAGGGGGCTGGGTCAGGTCCAAAAAAGTGCCGGGAGAGCAGGGAGAGCTCCCTGGGCAGGCGCTGCGGATGTTAGAGCTGCTGCTTATCTGCAGCCTTTTCAAGGGACTCTTGGAAATACAAAAAAAAAAACCCCAGAGAGTCCAGAATTCCTGAATGTTTCTATGGGAAAAGTACGTAGAATTTTTTTTTTTCCATCCTATTTAGGGGTGGTTTTATTTGTGTAGTTCCTAGTCAGGACTCCATTCCCAGTTCTGTGGGAGTTGTTATCTCTCCCCTGTGCTGTAACAGGGCGATCGCTGCGTGTTCGGAGGTTCCTGCATCAGAGGGTCCCATTTTTGGAGCAGAAATTTCTGTTGATAAACCCAGGGACATAGCTACGCTAGCTCTTGCCCTGTGTATCCCCATCCCGCACTCTCCAGATCCAGGGCACCCACTGCAGGAGCAGGATAGGGCCCTGTGCTGAGTGCGGGGGGGGGGCGCTACCTGCAGCACCACGTTGGGGCACATTCTGCACGGCCCCAGCTCCAGCCCCAGGGCCAAGTGGTCCGTGCCGACATTACCTGGTCTGTGCCCAAATGTGCATGTGTGCATGTATTGTTTTTAGGAATACAGGAGAGAAGCTGAAATACGAAATTGTGTGTACATATTTACACAGACATACGTCTATAATGCGTGTATGTGTATACACACACAGCTTTGCATCTCAGCTTCTCTCCCGTGTTCCTAAAAACTATTTGATTTTCAAGTCTGTTTATACACACTGTGCATCAGCATCATTAAATATGAATATACTATAAATAATAACTAAAAAATGTTGAACAATTATTGATAACTTGATGCCACAAACAGGTTTGTATCCTAGGCAACAGAGCAGCTCTCACTGTCCATAAAGCCCCTAACAAATGAAAACAATTTTTGCCGGTAACTTAAAAAATATTGCTCATTTTTCAGAACTGTTTTTAAATCGTACAATTACATTTCATTAGCCTGTTCCTGAGCAGACAAATAGTGCTGAGTTTTGGTATCTTTTTTTCTGATCAATGGAGAGGTTTTCATGCATCGGTGAGTGTTCAGGTAGCTCCTAAAAATGATATCAAAATTTAAGATAAACCTCAAAGTCAAATAGAAATGCAGAACAAAAGGTGGAAAGACATTGAACTCCCATTCCCTTTTAAAGGATTATTTTAAAATCACAGTCTTAGATTTTAATATGCACTTTTCATGCATAGTTTTAAAATCCAAAATATATTAGATGTTTGTACTCAGGAAAAAAAAAAATCCTGTGGCCTTCTATGAAGATTCATCAACAAGAACGGGAATAGTAAGGAATTACAAGTGGCAAATGCGTGGCTGCTCCGCTCCCATCCATCTAATCTATTTATACCCAGAGCTTGCAGAGGTTCCCGTGCAACCACTGCCAGCTGTGCAACCGCCGCCAGCCATGACCATTGCTCTCCCAGTAAAACCAGTCCACTTCCCTTTCAGATGAGCCCTCTATGTCTGAAATGAGCCATTCCAATGGGATTTACAGCAATCTCAATGAAGCGTCCCCTGCTCTGGGGAGACAGGCTGGGACCAACGGGAGCTTTGCTCTGGATCACAGCGGCATCCCAGCTCAGGACCAGTACCACGACCTGCGATCCAACAGCCCCTACGGGATACCCCAGTCACCAGCTTCCTTGCAAGCACTGCCAGGCCACCAGCCTTTAATCTCCAGCTTGGTTTACCCAGACAACGGCTTGGGCATCATGGGACAAAGCGGACAAGGGGTGCCCCAGTCCATGAGGGTCCTGGCCGGGAACGGACCCAGCTCCGACCTCTCTACCGGCAGCAGCGGGGGATACCCGGATTTCCCTGCCAGCCCGGCCTCTTGGCTGGATGAAGTCGACCACGCTCAATTTTGATACAGGGTCCGCCACCGTGCAGTGGGAAGGGAAAGGACTCGGTGCTGTTAAACGTCATCTACTCTTGGAAATGAAGGAGGGACAAACTGTGACTGCCGAGCGGGGCAGGAAAGCGTGACGACATGGAGAGAGCGGACATGCTTTCTTTCGGAGGGCGACCCAGCAGCCGGTTAGCAGAGGACGGTGGGCAAAGGCAGTCACACTGCAGCGATTAGCATATGGAGCGTCCAAACGAAACTGATTATTGTGTCTTTACTAAACACCAAGACTTGTGCTTTACAAATTTGATATAAGGTATTTTGCTTTCTGTTGTCAGTGCATTCTCCAAAGCAAGGACTTGCTTCATCACCCATCCACACCGAAACCTTTTTAAGAGAAAATAAAGTCCTCATCCACGGTAAAAGGTGTGACAATGTCTATATTTCTATAGGAGAAATGTTAATAGTGAATCACTTCAGAAATCCATAGTAGAAAACTTCTCTGTTCTTCCAGCAGATTTTTTAAAAAGCGCACCGATGCGGTATGTTTTGTTTTATTTTGAATTTACATTAACTTTTCTAAAATGAAATGCTCTTTAATATGCCAATCATTTATCAACAACCCTTCTCCTTTGTAAAATGAAAATCATATGTTAATTCTGCCTCTCATCTTTTTAATTTGTAGATTGCTAGTTTTATTCTTCCATATAAGCATTAAACCGTGAATAGATGTATTTATTACCAAATAACTACACTTTTATCACGAGGTCAAGAGGTGATTTTTCTTGACCCAGGAACACTAGTGGCTCTGGGTTGTGAATCTTATGCTTTTCTTTCAAATTCCTTTGCAACAGTTTTACTGCAAAATGTCCCAGAAATCACCCTGATGTCTTGTTGCCAAATACCTTGGGGGGGATAGGGTTGTCTCTCAGCAGGGGGGTTCAGCTGGTTTAGTTCAAGCCATTCTCCAGGCACCGCTGGGAGTGTGTCGGAGTGAGCACATGCTTTCCTGGTGACATTTCTCTGTTCCAGGCATTTGTGTATTTCCACAGATATAGTGCGAGCTGACTGTGAGGAAAGGCAAGACAATATGTATATTGTTCTCTGTAAAAATTATTGAATTAACTGTAGATTATGTGAATGTCCAGTGTCTTTTATTTATATTCTCGCTCTCTCTCTGATGATCAAATACTTCAAGATTACAAATAAATTTGTCAGCTAAACTTTAAATAGTCTTCTGCTAAATTCACATCATAAGCATCAATATAGGTAAATACAATACCTGAAACTAGAAGGAAAAGCCCCCAAAACTCGATGCCATGTCTCAACAAAGTGTTGAAATACACTCTCCTCTTTAAATACAGGAGCAAACCCACCGATGCAAAAATGCTTTGGTAAGCAGAAACAAAAAATGACAGTTTTGGAGGCTGGCAATCTTTGGGAGATCCGAACAGTAGTGCTCTATGCATGCACAGGCTTTGATCGTGGTCAAGCTCTTTTTGACAGGTCACGGTTATTTTTCAGCATTCCTTGCAAAGGTGTAAGCAGAAATCTGTGCTGATAAAGCAAGAGAAAATAGCAGAGTCTAATATTGTCTGTCTGTGGACAGAATGCTGTGCACATGAAACACTGAAAGTCAGATATTGGAATATTTCAAAGAGAAATCAGAAAGAAAAGGAAAAAAAAAACCCTAAGGAATGAAGCTTGACCGAACAGAGGCAGCCCGTGTGTGTGTACACCACGAGAGGCGCATGCACACGCATATCTTCATATACAAATGTCCGTGGTCACGCTCCTCAGAGCACAGCGAAGCACTTTGCTGAAGTCTCTGATTTAAGAATCAGATGGGAGACGCTTTTTAAAGCACATGGGCTTCCAGCCTCTCACTCCCCTGGGAAGTCGGGGAATATTTGTACCGGGGTCTTCCGTGTATCAAGCATCTTTGAGAGCGCGTGGATCTGAGACCAGCAGCACATTTCGGCAGGGAGGCAGCGCGGGGGTTGGGGGTGCAGCCATGTCTGGACCCGGCCCCGCAGGCGATGCTCTGGCACACGCCGTCCTGTGCTTTGCTGGGGACCCCACGGCAAGAGCAGCACTGGCCCCGGGAGGTTGCCAGCACCCCGGCACTTTGCCCCAGGGTCTCACCAGATGTCAGGTGAAGACACCTGGAAAGTCCAGGTTTTATTCCTTCCCTTTTCTAAAGGACACATCGCCACTGCTGGAACAGGGGTGACGTGTCGTTGTCTCTGGCCTCTTGCTATAATCGCCCTCACTGTTTTGCAGCTGCGGGGGGATGTGTTCTTGCCATAACACACGGCCGGCCGTCGCTTCCTGGGCCTTTGCTCAGCAAGGATGGGATGTCTCCAGAAGTGAGCAGGTATTGACAGTATTTACAGAAAGATTTAGATTTGCAAAATCCTTGTTAACCACCAGCTCTGTGTGTAAGCGTCTTTACAGCTTTTCCCCCTCCGGTTACACAGGCATTGCACCTGAGGAGAAGAAACACGTCCAGTTTCTGCTCTCACTGAGCTATCAGAAGCCTGCCCAAAGCAAACCGGGTACCTGCATACTGCCTTAGTACTGTAATATTCACTCAACAGAGAAATTCACTCTTTTTTTTCAGGAGACCCAGTCCAAGAAGTACGGCAGGGAAAGGAGAAGCCCCACTGTGTGACACCACAGGGTTTTTGCTTTAAAAAACATCAAGCCAGTTTGGACCCAGGGGTGACAAGTGTAAATTTTCCCATGTGTCTGCTCCTGGGGGATTTTTCAGATGGCTGAAGCTGTGGCTCCCGCAACCAAGGCAGAAATTTGCCTCATTCAGGTCTGAGCTCTCGAGTTTGAGCCCAGAGCTGGGCTCAGCAGCAAAAGTCTGGAGCTGCTTTTTCTTCCTTCTCTAGAACTGAGTAATAAAAAGACAGCTGTTGCTGCTAGTCCATAGGTATACTGCAAGGACCATGAAACTTATGGAGTAATAGAAAATTATGGGATTTAAAAAAGCAGATTACAAAACTTCACTTTTGCATATTCTGTAATGTGCAAAAAAGCACATTACAAAACAGAAAACAAGAGTTTGTGTTTTCAAGAATTCTGTGGTTTCTGCTCTCTTGCCCTATGATCTGGAAACACCCCCACCAAATCTGGGTAAGTGTTTTGCACCAAAATATTTGGGCAGTTCAAGTATAAATAATATTTTCCTATAAAAGACTAAAAAATACTTAAAAGACTTATTTCCTAAAAAAGCAGAAATAAGAACAGAAAGACAGAAATGTAGTTGATTTTAGGATAATGCTGCTGTTATAAAACCACTGTCCAGAAACTGTACTAATTGAACACACATTTTACAGATCTTTTTTTCATCGTTTCCCTCCCAGTAAATAACTGGTGCTGTTGTTCCTCTCACTCTGGGAATTCCCAGTGGATAGCTGAATTTAAGAAAGGAAGAAATGCAGATTTCCTCCTCTGCCTTTGTGCTTTGCTTTGAAAGGCAGAACGGGCTGAAAGTTGCCGGTGCTTGTGCTCGTCTGAACATGGAGAAGAGCTCCCTGAACGTCCTGATATAAAATTCAGGGGTTGCATTTCAGCCTCTCCTTTCAGGGCTGAGGTTCAGGGATTCCATTAATATAAATGCTTTCTTCCCGTTAAAAAGAAAACCAATTTGAAAGAAGCAAATAAAACTAACACTATCCAACTGACTGACAGCTTGTAAAACCCAAACAGAATTAGGAAGAGGGGTTTTGCATTGCTCAATTTGCAGGTGAGCTTTACAACCTCCGCTGATTTGCGTGAGTGCATGACACGGGAGGCAGGAAATTTTTTGTGCTCTCAGTGAGGAAAATCTAAAGTATGAATCTTTTTTTCCAAACAGCCTATTTGTCTTTTAGAAGCAGTTGTGCCTAAACTTGCATTCCCTACAGACGCAGGAAATGATTAGATTTTGTGTCAAACAGTAGAAGTAACATTTTTTTCTTGTTCTGATTTCTTGTATGAAGCCAATGAAAGCGAACCCCTCGTGCTAGGAGGGATAGACACCACCTTACTGTTAAATGTTTTCTGCAATTTCTGCGGGGGTGTCAGCTCTGCAGTGGAACCTCTTTATTGCAGCGGCCGAGGCTGCCGGCGCTCGCAGCGGGCAGTAACCCAGCGCCGGGGAGCCCATGTGCCGGGAGGGCGGCTAATCCACCCGGCTCCGCTCGCACAGCTCCTACGGGAGCTACCGCTTGAGGAGCTGGTGCGAGCTGAGACAAACAGGGCCGGGGCAAGAAGGTTTTATCCAGCCTGATCCAGGGGAATGAGGCGGTGAAAGGGGGGGTGTCCCTGGCTGGGGTCCTGGGGCTGGTCTGGGGACAGCTCGCTTCCCCAGGATGCAGGGCTTGGGGACCTTAGTGTCACTTTGGGGATGTTAGTGCCCCTTTGGGGACGTGGGCCAGGCGAAAGCCCTCACCCATGGAGAGCAGGGAAGGTGGCTGGGGTCAGGTCACCCTCGGGGTCCCCGCTGGTGCCTTCTCCCAGATGTGTCAGAGCATCCGAGCAAAGGCGTTCTCACCGCCCTGCGCATCCCGCCTTGCCTCTCCCAGCCCCCACCAAGGTCCATGGGAACAAGGCAGGAAAGCAGAGACCTGTACGATTTATACACTGAAATAACATTTAAAAGCAACAAATTACTTTGTTAAAGCCTGACAAGAAAACCAAGCTAGCAAAAATATGCTGGAAAAAAAAGCAAAGGTGTTTAAATTAGATTTTTTTTCTTCTTTCTGACATCTTTATTACACATCTAGGTGGAAGTGCATTTTGCACTAAACCACACGTGCAGGTGTGTTTGTTGGCACATGGGTGTAGTGGATAGGGAACAGAGGCTGGGGAAAATGTTGATTTAGAATGCAAAAGCCCTGCTTTTGTGCTCAGCATTTTGCAATCTGGGGATGAAAAATAATTTAATAGTCAAACATGCAAGGCTTCTGGGCTTAAACGAACTTGTCCATGTTAGAACACAGCCTGCTTCTGCACATTATTTCTCTTGCT